ATCATCATCATCAGACACTTTGTGCTGCTCTGTCCTCCCTTGGGGGTGCAGTGAGTCCCCTCCATCGTATTTTTTTAATGCGGCATGCGGCACTGAGTGACCTGGACAGTGCAGCATGCAGGACAGTTGGAATCCTCCTCCTTTAAAGGCCTGAGAGCAGCACATGAAGAATTATTGTATGGCAACCCCCCCTCCGCCCGCCTGTTAACCTGTAACCATTGAAGTGAGCACCCAATCCTCAGGAGAAGAACACAGCAAGGTACATTTCACATGCGGAAAAATCTGAAATAAAGAGATACACATTCTCTTTAGTCCCTCTATAGCTAATGATTTCATTTTATCTGTATGAAAGAGAGTGAAGAATATTTGCAAATGGCAGGAAAGTGATCCAGTTGTGGCTGTGAATTTAGAATATTACTTTATACAGTATAGAACTTTCAGCTGCAGGACAGACCACCGGGACTGCAGGACAGACAGCCTGCACTACAGGACAGAATGCCAGGACTGCAGGACAGACAGCCTGCTCTACAGGACAGACCACCGGGACTGCAGGACAGACAGCCTGCACTACAGGACAGAATGCCAGGACTGCAGGACAGACAGCCTGCACTACAGGACAGACCACCGGGACTGCAGGACAGACAGCCTGCACTGCAGGACAAGATGTCTGGACTACAGCACTAACTGTCCACACACTTCTTTTAGTTTTACCAAACTCAGAACTAAAACATTGCTTAACCTGCCTCACTATAGGGGACTCCATCTTGATACCTTAGTCCTTTACTTTTATATTTGATCAGGTTTCTGGGGTGATTGGCAGCTCAGCCTAGCAGGGTCCCCCTCTGTCTCTCTCTGCCCCCCTCTGTCTCTCTCTGCCCCCCTCGGTCTCTCTCTGTCCCCCTCTGTCTCTCTCTGTCCCCCTCGGTCTCTCTCTGCCCCCCTCTGTCTCTCTCTGTCCCACCTCTGTCTCTCTCTGCCCCCCTCGGTCTCTCTCTGTCCCCCTCTGTCTCTCTCTGCCCCCCTCTGTCTCTGTCTATCAATTTGCGATCTATAGTCACAGTCTGAGTGCCAACAGCTCTGCCATCCCGGCCAGCCTAGTGGGGCTTTGACCGGCTGTCACCGTTATCTTCAATCTTCGATAAACCAAGGCAATGCCTAATCCAATCAGCATAAGACCTGTTATCAAGGTTCCGAATAGGTAGATATCTTCGATGTCCTCCACGGAAAGAGCTACCAAACACGACCCTCCACTTCTCCCATTCGTCCATCGTGTAGCCAGCTGCGTACGTTCCTGCAGGACAGTCAGGTTCCTCCGAACCTGGGCTTCTTGCCTAGAAGATGGTGTCAATTGCGTTGAGAGACCAGTTGATCAAATCCATGATTTTTCTTAGTTTGGAGAGCAGGGCTGAGAGAGTCTTTCAAAGTATAAGACAGTAAGACAGTAGACTAGACGAGACGAGAGAAGCAAAGCAGGGAAGATAAGGAGAGGGAGAGAAGTGCGTCTGCCTCCGGTGAGAGCCAAGAGAGAGAGATTGGCAGCTCAGCCTAGCAGGGTCCCCCTCTGTCTCTCTCTCTGTCCCCCTCTGTCTCTCTCTGTCCCCCTCTGTCTCTCTCTCTGTCCCCCTCTGTCTCTCTCTGTCCCCCTCGGTCTCTCTCTGTCCCCCTCTGTCTCTCTGTCCCCCTCGGTCTCTCTCTGTCCCCCTCTGTCTCTCTCTGTCCCCCTCGGTCTCTCTGTCCCCCTCGGTCTCTCTCTGTCTCTCTCTCTGTCTCTCTGTCCCCCTC